GAGTTTTATGGGTGCTATTATAAAGGTCGTACTTAATGTGGGGTTTACAGCGGTGCGTAGCTCTTCGGAATGTGGGATTCAATAGCGATAAAGTGTTCAGGCTGGGAGAATCATATCGAATTTAACCGTGTCCGAATTGGGCATCAGTTTCCCAGACGTGGTGGGGTTGAGGGTTTGGCCTGAAGGCTTCAGCAACTCCAGGTGCGGAGAAGGGGGCAAACACAAGACCACACCAGGTGAGTTGTTTCTTCTGCCTGTTGGCGGCGGGGCAATTTTTGGAGGCTTTCAATTCAGTCGGTATTAACATCAGTCTGGTGTTGTGATTCTTGTGTTGGGGGTAGCAGCTCTTTAAAATAATTCTGGCCTTTCCCTACCCCAGGACACGCCAAGTTGCCGCACAACTCTAGGATCGTTCCAAGCATGTTCGGGTCCTGGACCCCATCAGCGCTTGGAGCCCGCACCTTCCTCTGTCTGCTCGCCTTCAATGGCTGTGGACTCTAGCTCCACGGTCTCGGGTTCCTTGCAGATGTTAGTCTTGATTGCAGATGGTGGGCTTGATCCATAGAAATGTTGAGGGCCTGAATATCGATAGCCTTCGGCCGATTTCTCGCGATATTTGGACCTCCAAACATGTTAAGCACGCCAGCACCAAGTACCACTACCAACAGACCAGGAACCAAAGTGACCTACAACCTAAACCCTACACCCGCGATCAGCCAAACCCGCAACCCCAAAGTCCTAGATATCCCCAGACCCAAAACACGAACCTCCTATGGACCTTGAATATCCCTCCTAAACAGCAAAGCCGCCAGGACTTCCCCAGCAGGCCGGTCTTGGACATCTCGATGGTCGTCGTCCAGCACCAGGGATCCTCCTCGGACAGTGGCAGAGGCCCGTGGAAGGCTTCGACTGGCACTGGCACGCGGCAGGCAAGGCTCCATACGGGGCTTAGAGCTTGATAGTAAACCAAAAGACTAACACAGAATGAGTCGCCGGCCCGGTGAGCATGCAGTAGGCTAGGATTCCACAACTGAGGTTGGGGCGCAGCCCTACAGCAATAGCCAAAACAAATAGTCCTGCGATGGGCCCCGAAACAAATTTCATTTCAATCTTCATAATTTCAGCAGCCCCCATAGGATCTTCGAAGTCTTGAGGGACGGCATCCGGCCGTCAGGTCGCCAGGGGATTCGGGCTCCAGGAGTTTACATATTCTTCTTCTTATCTTTTATGTTAGTATTAGAAATTATCAAGATTATTGCTATCATTATAAGGTCTAGGATGATTATCTTCGAATCGATGTCCCGGGGTTTGTCTTCTTCGCACTCGCCGGGTTGCGGCAAAGCTGAAGGCAGGACTTCTGCACGCCAGTCGCATTCGCCAGCGCCGACCTCATGAGCTGCTTAATATCGTGGCGTTAATAATAAGTATACGAAGAATACTATTAATAATAATAATAATAATAGTAATAATAATAAGAAGAAGAAGAATAGGGTTTTGGGGCAAATTATACTATACAAACCAAAAGGGAAACCCCAAAATAGTGTTGGTAATTATTGCGGCCCTAATATGATAATTATAACTCTGACGCCTGCTGAGACACCAGGCGGAAGTATTTTATCCAGCCCGGCGGCAAAAGATCGCAGAATTTCTGTTCCGGATTCGCAGTCAGGACCAGCCTTGCATTTCACGGGGGGCGAAAACCGAACAGGTGTCCGAGAGTCGGCTGCCCCCTACTATTCAGTTTTCAGGGAGCCCCAGCTTCTGCATGTGCTGTGCAAGTTGAGGAAACCTGTGTCCCCGGGACAAAAGAGTGCTTCTGATGCTCTCAAACTTAAGCCATACCAGGTTACCACGAAAAGAACAACACTCACCCAAAAGCAGTACAGTCTGTCAGCTGGCAGGCTTTGAACATCTGAATCTCCACTAAAAAAAGCAGCGCCTTCAAGACCCAAGCCCCACTAGCCCACATCCAAACTTCAAAAACACACCGTCGAATATCCTGGTGGACATTTTTCTTGCTTCAGGTACCAAGCCCACGACCCGAAACACAATTTGCCCTGAACACTTGGAAGCCCTTGAGGCCCTGGTCCCTGTCAACAGGACCAGGACGCTCTCCGCACATGCGACGGCATTCCAGCTGTCTCCCGGCCATGGCAGTCTGGGCACATAGGTTTACAGTTTGCAGGCTAATCAATTGTCCATCTGTGGCTGCTACACGGGTTGTAGGGGCTTGAAGGCTTGCGAGCTCTCTCGAATAGGGCTCTGCTCTGGACGCGATATGAAAAACCTCTTGCCGTAACTCTATCGTTATATGAGGAGGACCATCCGCGTTTTAGTGCAGGTCTCGCATGCCAGTCCTCGAAACCACGCAAGGTCCGAATGCCTCTTGAGCCAAAGGCACCGGAAGCAGCAAACCTGTCATCCGAAGCAGCAAACCTGTCATCCTGCCTGCCGTACTTCGGGGTCTTCAGGGTTTCGGAGACCCTGAATGCCAGCTCAAAAAGGAATCCAGGGGCTATCACGGGTTGCCCAGGTCTCCGGCTTCGGTTTGTTTAGGGCTGGGGTCTTCTGAGGGTCTTAGGTTTCATGGGGTTTCAGTTGATAGGCTTTAGCGCTTTAGGGGCGGTGCTAAGGACCTGCGTTTTCAAGCGGAGCATGATGATGCATGCAGGAATCCCCGAGCAAGACACATCTGACTGCAATGAGAGTTGTGGTGCTGTGAGCGAAATGGCACAGCATGTGTGTGCATGTAGCGACCGCCAAAACACAACTTGAAAGCTACAGCGGTGCCCAACAAGTCGTGTGGCAAGCGCTGATGGCCGCGTTGTGGACGATGACGTCCTCCGTAAAACAAGCATACGGAAACTGGAAACTATGCCAAATCGGCTGCTTCCTGCTTCTTCCGCACCACGAGATGTGGGCCTGCTAGAAGGAGCCTGTCTGGAAGGCAACATCTCTAATCCATGCGGGCTATGGAATGGGGACGAGCACGCGGCAATCACAATTAATCAACACGTCACATGTCTAGCACTACAGTAGCAGGCAAAGGATGTGCAGCGCTACTAAGCCTGTCCTCGGCCACTTTTGCATGAAACCTAAGGCCAGTTGATGGATTGCACGCTCGCAGCACTGATTACTCTTGGTTGTAAGTGTGCGTTCAAGAAGGGACATTGTGTCTGTCTGTGTAAGAATGGCTTTCGTCCGATTTGCATGCAACCGGAAGCGAACTCTGGGTTCCGGGGGCAATGCACAGCGCGCTCACGTGCGCGAAAAATTACCACTGCGTATGAGCAAGTCACAGCAGCTGCTAAGGGCCAAGGTGCCGGCCTTCCGGCACATGAACCATGCCGAAGCAAAACTTCCCCCAAAGCTCAACTGCCTTTCTTCATGAGCCAGGTCAGCCTACAACAGATCCGACACCACAGGGGATTGAAGGAACGAAAATTCTGGGCCAGGCAGCATCTGCTGCAGCGCTGCTAGCGCCGCTGCCCAGTTTTGCCCACGCTCTGTGGCGCTGATCAAGGAACCTTTTTGAACAAGGCTGTTGCTCAAGATTTTCGCCCTGGGCTACAGTAATACTCAGAAAAGCTTTGTTTCTCTGGTTCTCAGGTTGGACTTGCCCAGACCCTGCGAATTCTCTAGATGCGGTCAGACTCTCTATGAAGGTTTCAGGGCGATCATGTCGAAGCTTTCTGCTGGGTTTTCCAGGGTTGGCGAGGCAAACAAAGCCCGGCAAAGTGAGCATGGGAAGAGTGTCGCACATGTACATTTCTGCACCGGATACGGCACTGAAGGCATGGGAACGAAGAAATGCCAGCAAGTCAGCCACACTGCGGCAGTGCAGCTGAACGAAATCGCATCCGTCTTGATTTGCTGCACCTCCATCTCGCTGAAAAGAGCCTTGTGCAGGAAAATCGGGAATCATGCACATGTCGGACAGAACGTGAAGTAGGATTGTGGACCACAGGTAATGACTCAAAACACAAGCACTCAAGGAGTCAAGTACACTAACATACATATTATATACAGAGAGGGGAAGCCAAGCAGACACACGAGCAAACCCAAAGGCACACGCAAACAACATCCCCGCACAAAAACACAGGCAGTGACGCCGCAAATACGCACTGAGTGGGTAACCCAAAATCACTCACAAGCAGACACGCACACACACACAGAGATATATGTGTGTGTGTATATATATATATATGTGTATATGCACACACATACACATACGGACACAAGCAGGCATAGACACACGTACGGGCACACCTACACGCGCGCACACACGCAACATCCCTAGGCCCTAGGTGTAATATGCATGTATCTATACCAGTATCTGCCTCTATATATGTATGTATGTATGTACGTATGTACGTATGTACGCATTTAAACTTTAAACACCTGTACCTTTATTATCTACATCTATATCTAGATCTGCATCTACCTTGGCATCGATAGCTAATTACAGCGATATAGCCATGTCTGTAGCTACATCTTATATTCTTATATCCTTATCCTATCCCAAAGTCTGGCTTCTTGTTGATTAGTTTTTTGCAGCCCAAGGGCAGCAGCCAGTTGCCATTGTGCCCCTTTCGCGCAGCAGCTCATGACGGAGTTGTAGGACACAGCATCTCTCCTTCTTGATGGAGCAAGGGCCCCTGTACGCCGTCGAGAAGTCAGATAGTCGGTGCTTCAAAAAAGTCGGAAATCGCTACCCCATCCTGTGCAACAGTAGGAAGATGCTGAAGCTGAAGCACTCCTGCAACGCACCCCGCCATGGCTAAACAGCTCGTCTGCGCTGGCCCATCCAGACAAAGACTTGTAGGTCTCAACCGTGAGAAAAATACGTAAGACACTTCGGCCGGATCCGCGAACATGAAATAGCCAAGCTGGAATCATTGCAAGTAAAGTCGCAAAGCCCCACCTGAGGTATACCCCAAAGTCCAGTAAACCCTACGTAAAGTTCCTGAATGTTCCTGAAGCCCAAAGGCAAGGCACCTTCAACACCCCCCCAAGATGCTCCTGAGCTGCCTCTGGGCCATCTCGCCTCAGCTGGGGCGAATGACAGCTGAGGAGCCCCTAGGGTTTTGGGTTTTAGGGTTTAGGGTTTGGGGGCTCCTGAACAAAACATATAAAGCAAACAGGGCAGCCGGTCTCCAGAGACGTACAGGAAGCATCCGACTACTTGAGGTTTATGGTGGGCTCGGTCCTTGTGGCGATGAGTCTACTAATTACTTGCACGTCGGTCGCAGACCCCAATGGGAATACCCAGCTAGATCCCTAAAACCCACAGGAAAGCCGGTTTACAGCAAGGGGTTTGCGGCTTTGGGGAAGCACTGGGTGCTCAATGCTTTTGGCGTAGGCCTGTATTTCATGCATGGAACCGTCTATCCTATACCTGGCACGAAAACTCTGAGGCTCTCTTGGAAATCCAAAAGCTGCTCCCTGTACCGGTGTTAACACTAGAAGCTAATAGCCTCGAAAGGCTCTTAGACCCTCAACTCCTCAATCCTCGACCTGCTAAACCCTCAACCCTAAACCCAAATCCTTGCCAGGTAACCGAAGAGATCTAGTCCGAGCTCCCATCTCTCCTTGGGGAACCCGAGAATCGAGCTAGTATGATCGGGCCTAGGAAGGGATGCAGGTTTATGTGGGGAGTTCGAGGCGAAGAGGGGGGTTCCATTCTTCGCCCGGTCCTTGTAGAGCTTCACATGATTACAGCCTAGCCTTCTCCTTTTTGAGTCGTGCTTCCTCCTTGGGGTGTCAGGTGGTTGACTTTGAGCCACCCGAGTCTTGGCTTTGTGTAAGCTTTCAAGCTCATGATGCAGTAGGAAATCAGCAAAAGCACTCCTTCGGTGCATGTGGCGTTGCGCGTCATGCTTTCCCAGTCGCGGCAACTGTCCAGCCAAATTGTCTCTTCCGGCTTGCAATCCACCCCTTTTCCAGCAAATGGGGCTTCAGAGACATCCCTGTGCAGGAGCCCGTGAATCTGTGCCTGTGGAAGGAAAACCTTACGTATCACTAGGATTCAGGCTGCCTCAAAGATCCAGCAATCCTCAAGAATGCATGTGTAACAATCCTCACCGATCCTCACCACACTGTGTAGAAGGAATTTCGAGCGGAAATTCATGTCACATACTCGAGACATTCGAGACCCGCTGGCTGCCAAACTTGTGCGAGCCCCAAAACCCTAAGAACACCTTTGTTGCATCCAGGAGCCCTGAAAGAAAGTCCCACATCCGAAAAGCTGTTTAAAAGCCAACCGGTAGCCCTTGTAAGCCTTCGATTTAGTACACAGCACTAGAGCACAAAAAAAAAGGTTCCGCCGAAACCGAAACCTTTTGTAGATCCCACAAAAACCCAAGAACCCAAGCTAGGGCAGACTTGGGTCGTGCTCGCAGGCGCTGATGCCTTGACAGGTGGGATCTGAAGTTCGCAGAGAGTCTACGGCTTGGGGTCCGTAAAGTTTTGATCTCGCATGAGTGTTCTTAGTATACGGATCCTACTATTCAGGTGCACATCACCTGATGCGCAACAGAAACAGGTTTTGCAAACCCTTGCTGCGCAACAGCCAAGGACCAACCATATCAACGGAATAAGCTTCGTGACGGCAGGTGTGATCTGTTCTGCTTGGGTTCACCACATTGAGACCACAACACACAGACACAAATCAATAAATGCCCATGCATAAGCCACATACCAATATCTGTATCTCTATCTTTCGATCGATCTACCTACCCACATACCTACCTGTATGTGTAAATGTGTGTGTGTATCTATATGACTATGAAGAGAGAGAGAGAGAGAGAGAGAGAGAGAGAGAGACAGAGAGAGAGAGAGAGAGTGAGAGAGAGACAGAGAGAGAGAGAGAGATATATATATATATATATATCTGTGTGTGTGTATGCCTATTGTTAATTATAGTTGTGCTTTTGTGTATGCGACAAGTTCCTACATTGGTGGCAAAGGCCATCCGAGTGTTAAATCCGGAGAAGCGGCTGGTGTTGTAGACGACCTCGTCCCTCAGGATGCTACGGGTCTTCATATCCTGCACAGAAACAACGTTTAGGGCTGAGGGGGTTTAGTCTATCCCCCCACATCGAATGACTATTAGAGCGGTGTAGTATTTGCGTAGTATTACCGACTATGCTCAGCAGCTCATCATACGTGACATCTCGACAAAAGGGGCTTGAATCCTGCAGCTCTTCAGTCGGAAACCAACAACACAACTCAAACCCCAGCTAAGCAGCCCGCACACACTTTGGCCTTTGATTCTTCGGGTTTGCTGGCATCACACCAAGCCGTCTTCTCGCAGAGTCCCAGGACGTCGGTTACACGAAGCCCGCCCAAGCAAAAACTGTCAAACGCCTACGCACGAGAAGCCACGACTGGTGAACAGCCACAAGACGCAAGACACTGAAGGCACAAAGCGGCTCCTCAAGCAAACCTGAGCTGCTCTGCTTGACACACTTGCAAGCTCCAGGCTTTGGTGATCTGTTCGGCCAGCGTTCGGTCGCCCGATGCCGAATGACCAGAACTACTGTATCCGCCGTATTAGGGTTTTAGATTGACGGGATTGTTTGTCAGCACTCGTAGCATAAGCCTAATGCGCTCTACCATTACCGGACCGCCCTCGTTGCAACATGGGGAGGAAGCTTCGCCAGTGTCAAGTTTGCCCGTCGTAGAGCATAGGTTAGGGTTGATTTTTCAGCTCTGGATTTGGGGTTGGCACGAGCAAACATGGACTTCCAATCCATTGCTTCATCGAGGAGCCTGTCATAGATGGTTCTTTGCACTCCGGAAATGCTCCGGGTAGAATGATGTTCCCACATGCCCCGGGAACTCGCGAGAGCAAAAGCCACACAGCTGGAACGTGACAATACGATGGCGCATGAGGGTTCTCCCGGGTTTAGTGGTTTGTCGGGTAAGCAAATGCTGTTCTTAAAGTTTCTGGCTTCTAACGAAAGAAACTGCGAGCGGAGAAGCTGAAAACCAGGTCCAACTGCTGGAGCTCCGAGCAAGCCTTCATGGCACTGCTGTAGCTGTACCGGTCCTGGCAAACACTCGCTAGCCAGCTGTATTTGCAGCAAAAGAGGAGTGACTTCCTCCGGAGCTCATCCGAGCAAACTGCAGGTATTTTTACTGTGGTGTCTCGTTAGTCAATTCAAACACGCCCGCTTTCAAAGCCTCGTCACACCCACGGGCCGCCTGCAGGATCGAGGCCTTTGGCATCTCTGTAAAAAGATGCCACGCGCGGTCGTGTTGCCCGGCCCTGCCATGTCATGGCTGATAGCTTCGAGGTGAGCCCTCAGTACCGGGCAAGGCGCATCGCAGGGTCATGGGACTAAGGCTTCAGGGCTAAGGGTTCAATGCGACGACTTAGGGGTCAGGGTTTGGGGTTTCAGAGCACTGCGATCTGTCACTACAGCCATGCAGTGCAACCTGTCCCACACCTGTGCAGCTGGCCGCCAGCTTCAACTACATCTGCCGGGACTGTGAGGCCGAAGTCAGGGATTCTCCGGATTACGACATACACTTACGCTACATCCCTCAATGATGGTAACATACTGAAGCCCTGTGCTGATATGATCAAAGGCTTTGTGATGAACTCGGGACTCGCCATGCCCTGCGGAATCCCTGCTTTTTGATCCTGCTGCCGGAGCAAGTTGTTTAGGACGTCATGGGTGCTTCTTCATGAACCAGCTCTTCTCTGGCAGGCGCAGTACCGTTCTTATTCATCATGTCTCTAGTCATGTCAGCACAGGCGGGGCCGGTTCGTCAGAAAGAAGACACAACAGTGTACAGATACCGCGCGTCACTCTGCAAGCCACTTCCACATCTTCATCAGAACTGTGGTGGCATTCCTGGCATGCCGGGCATTCCTGGCATGCCCGGCATTCCTCCCATCTTGGGCATCCCGCCCGGCATTCCACCTGGTGGACCAGGGGGCATTCCAGGCATTCCTCCAGGCATTCCTCCTGGCATGCCTCCCGGCATGCCTCCCGGCATGCCTCCTGGCATACCTCCTGGCATACCTCCTGGCATGCCAGGCATACCCCCCATCTTCGGATAGCCACCGCCTGGCATACCTGGTCCTCCTGGCATGGGAGGTGCCATTCCTGGGGCTTTTCCAGGCATGCCTCCAGGTACTGTGAGGCCAGGCAGGCTTGGGAGGCTGGGCATTCCACCTGGCATACTCATGTTGGGTGGCGGGGTTGCGGCTGGCATGCCCGGCTTCGGGGGGATTCCTGTGGGGCCTGTCTGTCCTGCACCTGGCATTCCAGGAAGGCCGGGCATACCGGGCATGCCCGGCATCCCGGGCAAACCAGGCAAGCTGGGAAGCTTGGGAAGCTCGGGGAGGCCAGGGAGAGATGGGAGCCCTGCCTTTGCGCCTGGGGCCGGCTCGGGCTTCTTCTCAGGAGGTGGGGCCTTTGGCCGCTTGGGCATCACCGTGTGGTCACGGCGAAACTTGCTGCCGGCGCGCTTACGCTGAGAAAGGGTCAGCGTGATGCCGTCGCTGAGGTTGTAATATGCGAAGGTGAAGCGCTCCTCTGACACGGCAACGGGACATGGCTCGGAACGGTTTACGTACAACAACAAGCTTTCCCATTCAGTAAACCGCATGTTTGTTACACACTGTGCAGGGGGTTATAGTGGGGTCGCCATGTCTGCGAAACGATACCTTTGACACAAGAAGTCGCTCCTTCAGGAAGAAGCCCACGGGTTCGTTGTGAAGCCTTGGTTGATGCGGTTGCTCCACTCTACCTTCGTCTCTAGTGGCTTCGACTGACGGGTCAGGAAGTCAGGGTTTATGGACAGTTTGGGGTGTCAGGTGAAGTGAAGGTTCTAGGATTCTGGACTTAAGTTGTCGGTTTAGGGAGCCCGCATCATGCTTTGGAGAATCCGACCCTTCGCAATCTCAGCCAGGAGATCTCTCTCAGCAGGTTTTTAAGAAGCAGGGCCTCGCACCGACCCCATGTCGGACCCTTACACTGTCACTATCCCTAATAATTGAATCCGGTATCTCCAATTTTGGGGCGCGGATCGTCTCGTACGCTCTGCTTTTGTAATTTTACCTGTCGAAGATCCGGGAACTCCGTACCTACTTTCAAGCCTTTGATGTTTATCCAGAACATCAACAGTCTAGCTCGATTCGGGGAGTTAGTCATGGCACATAAAAGCCAACCAAGGTCCTGTTATGCCACGATTGCTGGCATGTAAGCCTGAGCCGAAACACAAAGCCTCCAAGCTACCTGCCCTAAATCCATTCTCAGGCTCGGGGCATCATGCGATTTGCAGGGATCGAGCGGACTCCCATCGCCACGAGCTTCGCCTGATTATCTGGATCTGGCTCAGGCAGGCTTCGTATCCCTATGAACCCTTTCCTATAAGCCTGGATCCGGAACTTCTTCTCATCCGCACACCCGCATGCTTTCGGTAAATACATGTACATTGTACATGTACATGTCGAGAGGGGGGAGGTGCCCAAAGTTTCGAGGTTCTAGTCTCGGATCGGCCAGGTGGTTTCGGATCAGAGTGGGATAGCTTCGCGGGAGTCAGTTTCGCCCGGACGTGGGTCTGTCAGTTTCGGGCGGCGAAGTGGGCAGTTTCAGTCTGATTCTTGCAGGCCTGGGCCTGAAACTGACCTGTCCTGATCTGATCCAAACCTGTGTTCCGAAACTCCGCCCCTAGACTCAGCACCGAAACAAAACCTCGAAAAACCCTGAAACTCCCAACTTCTGAAAACCACATTGACAACGGTACAATGTACGTATGTTGTATGCACATGTACAGCCAGTCATCGCAAGCACACACCCACACATATTACCTCCACGATCTTCGGCTTACGCCCTCTTTGAAAGCCCAGCCGCCTTCACTGCAGCACAGGTTTCCGTGAGAGGCAGCTCCACAGTCACGCTGTTCCTCGGATGGTGGATGGTTCTCAGGGGGCTTTGAGTCTAGAGCGGTCTTTAGTTGGCGAGGTGACACAAGCTGAGAAAGTGGAGTGACCTTTAACACACCCCCATAAAAATAGCAAGCTAATGACGAGAGTGCGTGGTCCTCCCTCCCACCGATGTCCTGCTGTGTGAAAGGTGCCTAGTTCAGGGCTACAGGAGGTCACTTCGGTGAGCCAGGAAGCAAATTACAAATTTACGACGCAGGACCAACTATGTGTCTGAGTTAGAATCAAAGCATGCGCATAAAACATTTTCGATATAGCCAGAGCAATTATGAATGCTACGTATTCCTGAAGCTGCCTGAGGGCCTAATGGGAACTTCAAAGCTACCTTCACGGCCTTCACGGGCTAGTAGAAAAACGTCCAATTGTCGTTGTTTGGTACAAGGACCCCCTCTTTCCCCCCAGCATACCTCGCACTCCCTCTTTGAATCAGTTCAAGATTCATACCGAGCTCGCTCTCCACCACGCTCCTGAGCAGAGGTTTCAAGGAGTTTAGGGTCTCCGAAGGCCTCGGGGTTCTTGAGAGTCAAAACCGTTGGGACGTCAGTACCGGGCTTGGATCAGTGGACGGATCTCTCAGTGATTTTTGCTCTTGGTGACTGTAGCCACTGTAGTTGCGAGAGCAGGAACAAGTCTCGAAGAATCCAACAGCCAAATAAGAATTTGCGCCACCGCGCGAAGGCTCGTCGATTACGCGACGCTAAAGTGGCCTTCGAATGAGAGTCTAGAAGGGGTTGTAATACGCGCATCCTGAACAAATTCACGCGACCGAGAACGTGAGCCGGGCTCCAGGTTCTACGCCGTGGCCCACAACCCTGAAGCCCCCGGTCGTAATAAACATACATCGCACGATTTATAAACACATATGTGTATGTATATATAAATATAAATATAAATATATATATATATATTTATACATAGTAGATCAATCACAAGAATCCGCAATGCAAAGAGCAGCAACAAATACATAATTTCAGCTCCGAATAGTGTCACATTCAGGTGTATAAATAATATTCTGATTAATATTAAAACACGAAATTAGGGTTTGATTCCGGAGAGGGAGCCTGAGAAACGGCTACCACATCTAAGGAAGCCAGCAGGCCCGCAAATTACCCAATCCTGACACAGGGAGGTAGTGACAAGAAATAACAATACAGGACATCCATGTCTTGAAATTGGAATGAGTAGAATTTAGACCCCTTTATGAGTACCAATTGGAGGGCAAGTCTGGTGTCAGCAGCCGCGGGAATGCCAATGCCAATTGCATATGAATTTTACAGCGTAGAACGTGTTCCTGATAGACTACGTGGATGTGGTGTGATTTCAGCAGATTTAATCTTCGTACGTCACACGGAACAAGAAAATTTCTTCAGCCTAAACAAGAGGATGATGAAAAAAATGGAAAGAAATTTGTAAACCATATTTAAGGTATTGTGGATAAAATCGGACAGCCTTTGGTTCTTTCTGAATTGGTGTTTCGTTTGTATTTTGACATGATGGGGATCTTTCATTTTTATCAGTTTCAATATTATTTTTTGGCACGTGTTGTCATTGTTCATTTATTGTTTGTATTCTTTTCTTTTGGGGGAATGCCAGTATATATGCTATATCACTCTATTTTAACTTTTACCCAACTAATAACTCAACAATTTTGAATGATCTTGGAGCCCTTGAGCCCAGCGTCACGTCCACGTTGATCTTGATGGGCTTCTCACCCTTCTGGTCTAACCAGTCCTGCTTCATGTGGGCACTGAACTGCTTGATTCGGGTGCTACAGCTGCATGGCCTTCTGCGATTTTCAAGCAACCAGCGTTGCTTGGCGGGGGCGAGGGAAAACTCCCGGGCAGAACTTGCAGGGTTGTTGTGGCAGAGCTTCGAGTCGAGACTTGCTAGGCTTGACCTTCACAGGATATACGCACACATACATATACATATATATATATATATACATATATATATATATATATATATATATTATATCACATTATATATATATAAATATAAATATATAAATATATATATATATATATATATATATATATGCAGAAGATGTGGAGGAACCGCATGGCTGAAGCTGCTTCTCTTATTTGAGGGTCCGGTCGCACAAGCAAGAAGGCGCGCTTGGCCGCTGCACCCTCATAAGCCAAATATCTCTGTGTATATGTATATATATATATATATATATATATATATATATATATATTTACACACACACACAAACTCTGTCTAGAACGCTTATACATGCTGGCAAGTATGTTTATACAACTATATATATATATATATATATATATATACAGACGCACACACACACACACACACACTTGCATCCCTTGTTTCGGATGAGACCCTGGCGGATTGCAGAACCACTATGACTCTGCTTCTTTCTTCGGAGTCGGAACGGCATGGGCGTCCGCGCCTGCTCACTTTTGAGCTCAATTTGCCTCTGCTTCGGCGTGGCCATCCTGTTCAGAAGATAGAAATCGATATCTGCTTTCCCACACAGAACCTAAGATCTAAAAGCCTCATCGATGTCCTAAACCCGGCTTGGCAGCAGTTGGGGGCTTGGAGAGTGGCTTAGAACGAAAGCCCAGCAGATCAGCCCCCATGCGGGTCAGCTTGCTACAAGCCAATAGAGACTGCGCATCATTTAAATCTAATTCAGCATGGCCGACCCAAGTGCATCCGTTGGTCACACTGACCAACAAAGTTAGACCTGTCTGCGGAATGAACAGACGACAAGTGGCGCCACGAGCGCTGTTCGCCACGGGTCGATAGCTCCTGCTCGACCACTCAAAGCAAGTAGGCAAAGCGTGGTGGGGTCGGGCAACAGATTCCTTCAAGGCCACGATCACTCTGAAGCTTCGTGGCACGAAAAGTGAAATACGATGAACTCCTTCCTAGTCTGAGTCTTTACCCTTTACCTGCAGCCATGTTATGTGGACCTACGTCGTTTTTTCGAGGATGCCAATGACGGACTCTGCCATCAAGGCCCTGGATAGAAAACGAACTTCATGACTCGAACTTGACAGCGGCCCTCTATCGAACCCGATCCCTGTGCCTTGATACTCTACGTAAGATAGCAGCAGACACCCGTCATGCAAGACTCTCAGACTTGCTTCTGTCCCCAACTGCTGACCTTTAGGTATTGTAAGCTTTCGAGGTCCCCCTTACATACTGACACTCGGAAACTCGGTAGTCGATAAACCCTATAAGCCTAAGCTGGGCCATTATAGATCCTAAACTGAAACAAAGCCCAACTTCAGCTCCTAGACCCCGTGCGTCGAGACAGCCTGTCTTGGCCTTGTCACCTGAGATGTGGGCAATGCTGTGGCAATGCACATTTGGCCATGAAAAGGCCTCAATGATTGATGACAGTGATGCCAGGTTTGATTCGGACGGTGCTGGCTCTTTGCATGCAGGACGGCAGCTGTTTTTTCCCTCTGGCATAGATTGGAAGTCTATGCCAATCTGTTCAGATACAGGAGTTCACGCTAACTGCTGTGCCGCGCAATAATTAGGACCCCAGTCTTTGACGGATTTCGAACCCACGCTTTGCCACTGGGCCTAAGTCCTGACATTACCACAGCAGCATCGCCGTCATGCAGCTTCAATCATGTTGTATTGGTAGCTCGTTCGACTTAGAACATACTGCTCACATGCGGTTGCTGCTTAGCCTTCACCCCAACATCCATCCCCCCTCCCAAGCACAAGGACAGCGCCGTCCGGCAAACATCTGCTTCACATCAAACCTAAGACCCGATTCAGAAATCTCCCACAGCACGGGGAAGTAAGTGTCTAAGCGTTGCTAAACTTGCTAAACTCGAGACCCTAGAACCCATTTTTGTTGCGGCCAAGGTTGCAGGTGGCAATCAAAAACCCACTCTTGGAGCGAGCATTGGCCACCTCAAATGGACGACAATTCTGGTTTCAAGCTGCAGGCTGTATAGGCCTGTTTCTCGCTGCTTCCTTTCGCTTCATACCAAAATGTGTTTATAAGGTCTGTATGCGCTTTTGCCCCTAAACCAATTCCTCGGAGTGCTGAGACTTCTCGTGGGAAGAAGCAGAAAAATGTTGTTAAAAGGTCACCAACTCGACTACTAGGTTGCTGAGCTGTCGATAGGAGGAATGACAGTCGAAGGCACTCTCACCGACACTCCAGTGAGAGGAACCAATTTCAGGAAGGACCTGGAAACGCGGTTGCAGCCGGGAGCCACGCACTCTTCTACATACGTCTGTTGCTTGAGTCAGAAGTTGCTTATTTCCAGCCGCCACGGCCTGTCCGGGCCTCGAGTCTGCATGACCAAAGCTGAATTAAGGCTTTGCCTTCACGAATTCCGAAGACAGCCCCGAGGAAACCCGTTTTTGTATGGCACGACTACTGGACCGTCGGCCATGCTAGATGGGCAACTCGAGTCTATGTGCCTCAGTGCTTCCTGCAGCAGCTCGTCCTAAATCTGAGCATCTGGCATAGATACGCTCCGTCTCCATGTGGTTCAGGACCCGAGACTGGAGGTTCTCATTGAGGGACGCAAAAACCGTAATGGCACCTCGAATCCGGGCGAGATTCGGCTTCCGCACTTCAGAGAGGGAGGCTTTCAAGGGTTCCTGGGTGCTCAAGTCTCTACAGGAAGTGCTGTTCATGACTCTGCTCGTCGCAAGACAAACCTAGGAGCACAATGGCTGCAAACAGCCTTCAAGCCTAGAAACCCTGCGGTCGTGAAGCCGTGACCTTGTCGGAACCTAAACTCCTAAACCCTCAACCAAGCGTAAACCCTCATCTCCCTTATAAGCCATAAACCTTAAACCCTCAAGTCCTATACGCGATAACCTTTTAAAACCGTCAACCTCTAAGGCCCTACCTTAAGCCGGAATTGCCTGCCCTTCTACGGACTAATATAAGGAAATCAGACTAAGGAACTCCTAAAAAGGTAGGTGATTCAGGGTTAAAGCCCCAAACCCCTATAAGCCCCTGAAGTGAAGCCCGGCGACGGAGATCGAGGTCGCCTTCCTTCAGCAAACCTTCTTCGAAGAGCTTCTCAAGGCCTCTGAGTTTCCCCGAAGTTTTTGGAGTTTAGGGGGTTCAGGCTTCAGAGGGCCTCAGAGAGTCTGTGGATTTCAACCTTCTTAAGGTTTCAGAGGGTTTACGACTTTTCTTTAGGTTTTGGGTGCTACTAGTCGGGTGTTAGTGTTCGAGTGCAGGGTTTTTTACATGGCCTCAGAGACCAAACCTTCAGGCCCTGGGTCGTTTCCTCTTAGGGCAGGCTTTCAGCACACTCGGACGAAGCTTCTCTTAGGGCAGGAATTATAAGGTTTAGGAATCCGAGCTCTCAATGAGCAGACTAAGCCCAAGCCGCTCTAAGCAAGCTGTAAGTTTGGAAGCTGGTGGCGCTCCGTCTTACAAGACGGTCAGGCTTTGACTCGTGGACTTCGGGCTCATGTCGTCGATTTCGAACGTCCCGACAAAACCATCAAGACCAACAGTGGTATAGACTCAAGAGGGGTTCAACCCAAGGCCAATCAGAACACGGCTGAACTCAAGAAAAGCTCAACCCAAGGTTTGGGTCGTTTTCGGGGCTTCATGAGGGCCTTGGTCCTTGGGGGGTACTCGCTTCAGGCAGGTCGCGTTCGCGGATGTCTGTCGGAAGCTGCTTGATAGCCACGGCGACGATTTCCTGCTCACCTCATCAAAATGCGAGATTCACATCGTGACCATATATAAAAGAGCGGGCAGTCCAGGCAACCATATGAAGGCAGATTCGGCAACCCCCCACTGCACCAAGAGACTTACCCGAGCCTCCCTTGAGTTTGCTGGACTTTGCACAGTTTGCCACAGAGTCCAAGGCACTGTTGCCTGCCTTGGCGGCCGAGGCAACATCCTTGGGTCCATCACGAGACCGGGATCCTCGGAACGGGCCGAAAGCTCTGCTTCCTTTGGGCCGGTTGTCTGTTTGGGTCCCGTCCCTGCTTTTCGCCTTTTGTGCTCGAAAGGAACCTCCCAGATGCAAAACTGCGAGGGCATTCATCCTCATACAGCCGCGGTCATTCTTCCTGCAGCCTCTCTTCCTGCTTATGTGTGTTCGGCCAGCGCAACGTTGCGGTCCTCTCAAACCGACCCCACGACCCAAAGCTGAAAATCCCAACCCTCCAATTAAAGCCGCGACCTCCCAAGTTCTGCGGCACAGGTGCGGCTGCGGTCTCCCATGGCCGTGGCAGGTTCGGCCCCTTCCCTAAGATCCTTGAGGCCGATGTGCTGCGTCGTTTCGTGACGAATCCCCATCTCAGCCGCAATCTGCTATAGCTGTATAGTATTGTTGCACACCAGGCTCACCAGAACAGGACTCTGACTTTCAGGCCCCTGCCGCAGCTTGTTTGGGGAGTCCAAAGGGGTTTCATCGCTGGTGTGCAGTGCAGGGTCCAGGGTCACTGTGAGGGTGTCGGGGAGCCGGGCTGATGCTAAACTCTCGTGCCAGGATCTGGGCTTTGGCTCCTGCCGTGTTCCATCCTGCAGGCTTAGTTTATGCACGACCAACAAAGGAGGCTGCTAAACTGCTTCAAGATGTCTAAACTTGAGTGCTTAGGGAGATAGCATTCCCCTCCCCTAGCCTCAAACTCACGGCTGTCGGTTTACAGCCTACGGCAGTTTACGGGGCAGTTTACGGATCTCCAACCTTGAGCAGGCAGACATCGAAGCATTGTAGGTCACCTGAGCGTGGGCCGACTCGCCCCGATAGGTCCGATAGGTAGTATGTATACGTACTACACTGTAGCACATAGCAGGAGCCATCGAGGAAGAGGAGCACTGGCTAAGTGGCTGAAACACCTACATTCCACACCTCGTGTTACGTTTGGACGTTGTGGCATGCTGCCACTGGCAAAATTTTCAGACGGCTTCGCGGTCTCGTTCTGACGCGAACACCTCGAAGCCCTGAACAAGCCCAACCAGGCATGCGAGACTACATGCTGCCACCCCATACCGCTGCCGACAGCAAGCCCTGCTGCTGGCAGCCACCAAAACACTGGAGGATGCATCACTCGCGCCTGGATGCTTGCAGCTGAAGAGCTGTATCCTTCTGGATGCTCCTCTGCTCCATGAGGCCTGGATGAGTTCAGAGTTTTTCGTGAGTCAGTGTCATTTGCCTACCTAGGTCGTCAGCAGATATCACCGCAGGGAACCTACTCCCACGTACACCACCAGAGGGTCTGATATCCTCGTGATCGTCGTCGACATCAACATGGCCATCATTCCCGCGCTCGATCATCATCATCATCATCGTCAACAATATCATCACCACTGTCCTCATCATCTGCAACTGCTGTTCTTTGCTTTCCACCGTTTCGTCGATCCTCACATCGAGAGCGGCAGGACAACAAGTAAATATGTCAAAAGTTTCTTCATCCTGTTTCTGGTATTGGCAGAACAAGCCGGGTATCCATAAGTTCCACCGGATATGGGACCCAAGGCATGAAAACAATCTAAGGCTGACAGTGCTTAACGGATGCAATTTATATTACGAAGGCAGACAACACCAGTCAGTCGGCACAATGCGATTCTGAAGGTCGTGACATGATGAGTTCTGTCGCCTGAGCCAAGGTGCGGAAGCAATGCAGCGAGAGTTGCCAGTGGCTGCTTCGGCCAAGGGTGCTGATGCTGACCTCTTCTTGCTTCGAATGAGTATGCGCATGTGCTCATTAGGGTTTCGATCGCTTTAGGGTTCGGAAACTTTGCACACAGTCTGCCTCGAATTGAAACTCGAGAGCCCGATTCCAACACTTCTGAGGCTCAAGCTTCGGAGCCTCACACAGCCCTCGTGCGCTTCACGAATTCTGCCTTGAAGGCTAAAGAGCCTCAACAACCTCTTTCAGCCCGTACCCCCTTTCTGAAAACAGTAGGGTTTAGGGCTGGGCTGTTGGGCTTGAGGGCCTTCGGGGAGCTAGGTTGCCTCAGGGACAAACTTCTTGAGGGACAAAATATGACAAAGCGAAGACAACAGGCAAAGCTCTCTACCGCAAAGTGTGGACTTTCCCCCAAGAAGATCCAGGTGCAGAAACACCATGTTCACCCTCTCTCTGTCTCTCTCTTTCTTTCTCTCTCTCTCTCTCCCTCCCCCCTCTCCCGTTTCTGAACATAGAGTGTGGCAAGCTACATTGTAATGCTGCACGTTGGGCTCCAGCTTCTCCTCCCCCATGGTTTTGAGCATGGCGACCTTGGCATGGAAGTGCGCAAACGTGGCGGGCGGAGCAGGTTTTCAGTGGTTCTATACTGTAAGTGTAGTAAGAAACAAGAGGAATGGTGTTGCAAAAGATTCAAGCATTTATATTGAATAGGGACGAGGTGGCTTTCATGTTGCCTTTTGCACCAAAAGGTCCTGATTCTTTCGTAGCGGACTCCGGGTATCATCTTCCTGAGGACAAACAGGATTCAATCTCTTTCGAACTCAATCCTTGGGCTGTGGATATTGAAAGTTTCGGGCTCGAAGTTGCAAGTCACACTTCCTGGAGGGTAGAGTCACAGTCTCTCCGAGTCTATCCGTGCCCCCCAGGCAAACTACAGGGCCGCTGGAAGTCCCTCGTTTTGCGCTGCATATGCCGCAGATCTACAGGAGGGGTGCAGACACTTGCAGCTCTCTTGCCAATGACGTGACAGGTTGCAGTGGGCTTTTGTACAAAGTTCACAGATGTATGCCGTACTCAGTACGACATACCATACTTTACTAGTAATGGTGTGTCATGGGTTACAACCTGTCACCATGCAGTAATCGATCCTTCTGTTGCGGCTGTGCAGCGACGCCCTCGCCGTGCTGTCGCTTCAAAGCCGCGGTGGCCTCTTTCAAGGCTTTCGCATGCAATGCTCTGCAGCTTCTTAAGTCTAACGACCGTTCGATTCGTGGTCCGGGGACTCTCACCCTAGCCAGGCCCGTAGGTAGTTCGGAAGGCCAGCTGGGCATGCAGGATTTCCGGCTCCAGACATGCCTCAAACTCTCGGATCCTCCAAAGCTCACATCAAGTGTCCGGGTGCTCGCTCACCGTGCAACATGTCCAAGGACTAGTAAGCTGGAACGAACAACGTCGAACAAGGTAATTTTCTACACCCCGAAATGAAAAACCAGCCTGCTTGCAATGCCCAAGCACTCATAAAGCCGGAAACTGATACCTTTTCTGTGTGAAGCTTTGAAGACGGCAACCTGTAGAAAAGTGATCCGCCTGGCGTGGATCGAGGGTGCAGCGGGAAAGCCTGAGACGCACAAAGGCGCTGCATGCAAACGTGACAAGCCATGCGGCAGGTTTCCAGTACATAGCTGCAGATCCTCGAACTGTGTGCTATGTGCCAGACTCTCTCGAAGCTTACCGGTGCACGTTGTGGTATACCAGCTGCCGCTGAACACAAGATCGCCAAGCATCTGAGCAGAAAACAGTGGTAGGCAACGGAACCGAGAATACAGATGCAGCCCTGCTCACCTGGCTTTCACCGTGCGGGATGCTGTGCCCATGTGATACGAGGCTCGCGAGACTGCTGCGGAAGGCTTGCGTCCTGCTTCAGCGCTTCATGTCCATTATTCGAGCTGCACGGGAAATTCCAGGTCGCATGATGTCCGAAGCTTTGATCTTGCATTTTCGTGCTGCCTGATTAAACATGTGGATACATGTGTGCACGTTGTGTAGAAATACGTAGACAGATGATTCTTATAGAATTAGAGACAAGTCAGAGACAAATGCATATGTTCTGCGAGCTGCTAGCTACCACGGTCATTGGCTCGAGCCCAGACAAGCTCCACTGGCATCACCGTCAGATACAAGCACTAGGGCTACTTGGACCTAAGTTTTACGGTTATATTTGGTCCCGGTCTTCAATGCTGTCAGCTCTACTACTGCTCTACTGGCGAGCTCCTGATACATCCCCGGCGTTTGATTTGGCAGTGATAGTGGGCAGCCTCCTGTCTTCAGTTAAGGTCAGGGGTGTGAACAACTCCGAGTGCGTGTATGTCGAGACGCTTTGCTGAATGCAGGAAGCGCTTCCTGGTCTGTCGCTGCCAACTTTGGGCTCAGCGAAGGCTCCTGCAAGCGGAGTTCGGAAAATGCAGCGGCATGCCGTCACTCTGTTGTTTTATGGAATTTGACTGTCCTGTTCAGGGAGCTGTCGATGCATGTGAGCAAGAGACCATGACATCCACAGCCCCAGACGCCTCGAATGTGAGCTGAGGCTTGAGAAGTCGTCGAAACGCGACGGCTCTGTTGCTGCCAACCTGGGATGAGGGAAGCACACAGAAACTAACACTTCGATATAACATGGCACTTGTTCCACGTCACTGCGCACCTTTGACCGACACATGGTTTGGTATATGGAGCATGGCTCTTTCGGATTCCCGCCGCTCTACTTGGCTTATGAACTATCAAAACTGTACACATGCCGCTTCAAGATTCATTCGCTTGCAGTGGGCCTACATCCTTGTCTGGACTCAGGCTGACACAATACATACGGTACAGTGTATACAGTATACAATGCGTATGCATGGTGCGCAAGAACATCGCAATCTGAGTCTGCAAGCATAAACAGCATGCCGATTGACAAGACCATGACGCTTGCAACCTGTCGCCCGTTGACAAAGTTGGAAGTGTTGCTGATGAGTGTAGTGGTGAGAACGATGAAGATGAAGATGCAGAGATTGTAAATGGTTGGTGGGTACCTCTGTTGTTGAATCTGCTCAACTGCTAGTTCGAATGAACATGGCCAGCCAATAGCTTGGCTCCCCCCGGACTTGGTGCATGGCTTCGTCAACATGCAGAATCCGGTGCCCGATTGGTCAACCATCCCTTATCACAAACATTCTTTGAGGGTGTATAACTGCATGCCCATACAGAACGGTATGGTGCGGAGCTGCACTTTTCATATCACAAAAGCTTACAGCAAACGAAAACAGGCAAGACACAGCGAGAGACGGCATCACATGTGCAGGCGTGAAGCCACGATCAGTAAATGTATCCATCTCCGTCGCCCCCCAACTATGGACATGCGTGCGCACACTCACACACGTGTTCAATGCAGCATATGCAGCATGCTGCACAGCACATGCCAGAGTCCCTCCACTAACACGGCTCGAAAACAAAAGCCACTTGCCGCTCCAAGCACCCGCCCGGGCGCGTCGTCAGAGCCGATGACAGAGGCGCTGAGCTCGGGCAACTGCAGATTTGAGGGTCTGAGTTACTATACATACATATATGTATATATGTGCAAAGGGAGAGTTTCGGATTAGGGTTGCAGAGATCTGTTGTCTGAGGCTCGGGGTTTCAGGGATGGGGAGGATTTCAGTTGGGAAAGCCGGAGTTGTGAGATCCTCACAAAATCGCGCCACAGAACGTCTGCGATTGCAGCATTTTCAGCTGGCTACATCTGTTGTTTATGGAAACCCCCGTTGTTCCAGCAGTGCTGCAAGCTGATTCGCTGAGAGGGCTTGCGTATGGCTACAACTGCAACAAGATTCGTGAACCCTAAACAAACTGACAAAAAACAATGGGGCCCGTCCCCAAAGACAGACAAAGCGACAAGAGTAAGATACAAAAAAACTACTGACGATGATCCTCGCAATGCCGGATGGTGATAAAACATGACGATCTGGTGATAAAGGAGACGATGCACGAAAGACTGGCAGTCGCAAGTCTTGATGACGATATCACGGTAATAACAAGTCAACAAATAGCTATCGCCCCCGTACGACCTTACTGGAAGGGCAAAGACAATAATCCGAAAATCCAGGGCGCAGCCGTGGCAAATCCCGAACAAACCATTACAGCATAACCACGCAAATCCCTGACACAACCGGAAACCTGACAAACCCTACAATTTGTAGGCTCTAGAATGATATTAGAAGGATGAAAACTGACATTAACCTCATAACTCATAAACATCCAGAATACAAAATTAAAAGGGATATGCGAGAACAAGACTGGCCTCGAGCCGGGCCCATCCCTCGGCTTCGAAGCGAGGCGGCTCGAGCACGCGGCCCCGGGATTTGAAGGGCTCCGGACCTCCCCGGAGTTACCATAATGGGAATAGTATGGTCTCCTTGGTACGTAACTTAAACTAAGTCCCTTAATTAACAAGAACCGAAACTCTCAGGCCGCGGGTTTGGGGCTTTGGTGTAAAAGCCTGAGATAAGTGGGGCTTTAGGCCAGCCGTTTTTGTATCGTTTTTGTACTACTTGTAGGGATTCTGTCGTAGGGATCTTGTTTCGGGCCCCTCATGCTCTGAAACTTCGATTTCGGGATGAGATTTTCGGTTTGATTTTGTGCTGGCTCTTTTCCGTTTAGCAGCCAAGACCCGTCAGGAAGCTTTCTTGAGGCGAACTGATTCGGCTATACGTAAGTGGAAGGGTTTGGATGTCCGCTTCTAGTTCGAGCACTTGCGCCATGCAGCCTTGATAATATACAGCATATTTTCTTGCATAGAGCCACAATCCACCTGACGCCACAAGCAACCGCCCAGTTCAAGTTCCAAGCTCATGGACCACGGCATGCTTCCAGCATGATCCGCAGGAGTCAATAAAGAACCAACATCTACACAGAAGCTGGGGACATCATGACTATCATATCACACATCCAAAACTCGCTGAAGCACCAGTGGCCTCCCCAGGTGTGGCTCAAGCAACCACTCCTGTTCAGACTCTTGGGCTGGAGGCTGCAAGTGCTTCGGACAGTCATAACCTGCAAAGAGAGCTTCCCCTAAGGCACCAGAGTGCACGAGGGCTTGCGGAACTGCGGCCTGAAGTCTTCGTCGTTAAGTTTGAGACACGGACTTCGGGGCGCAAGCAACCGGACTGTCTATGAGCAGTCGAAAGGATCCCTTCTTTACGGTATGCATGCAGTATGGGCTAGTAGGCCTGTCGGAATCAGCAGGCCCAACGAGCAAGTATTCCAGCACACCTGGCAGTCTTCTGACGCAGACGGAGATGCCACGTTGCCTTTGCCACAACTGTCACTGTTGTTGTTGCCTTGCAAATTCATCGTTACGGCCCCTCCTCCCCAATATATACTGCCACTGTGACAATAAGAGGCAGTTTCAGCACTCCACATCTTCCGCAGAGACATTGCCACGACCACGAAACAACTTTCCCCTCTAAATTCTAGAACTGAGACTCGAAGTCAAAGACAACGATGGCAACAGCAGCAGACTCACAATCATATCTTCAAGGCAGCCACGTCGACG